CTAATTTCCATATTGTAAATATTCCAAATGAAAAAATGAAAAAATATTGTTTTTAAAATTTTGCAAACAGTAGTTCCTTTTAAAATTTGGCAAGTTATTGTTCAACTTCTTAACTTTTACATCTTAAGCAGTTATACGGTGGGCTTTCACAATAATACTGTACTTTTGGGATACACTGCAAAGTCTGATTAATTAAGTTGTTGGCCTATCAAAACTCTAGAAAAAAAAGTGCAACTCAACAGAACGAAATTTATGCAAAAATGATTGAAGGTTTAATGAGATAGATTTCGAAAGAAATAGTTGTAAAAAAAAAGTCTACAATTAGTTATCATCTATGCAAAACTGACAGTAACCGGTTTTTACGTAACATTTATATCTTCACTTGAGGACTTTTTACAGCAGTTATCAGCTGTGCCTTGTTTAAAAATTTACTTGTCTTGGATTTTTTTTTGTCTTTTAATGGAGTTCTATTATTTCAGAGCTGTCATCTGGAAAAATGTGCGAAAAATACTGAGGTTTCTTAGGAACTATGTATACGCTTTCAAAACAATACCTCTGAAATCATTTTGTTATTCGTATTACTTTATCTGTTGGAAATAAATTTTTTTATTCCTATGGACCACTTTCGTTTACAAAAAATGACTAATCGGGATGTCTGTCAATTCAAAAATGGATGTAATTTACTTATTCTGTGGGTAAACACTTTTCACCTCTTCTAAACACTTACAGCAACAAAACAATTTTCTATTTAAGCTCGGTAACTGTTCCAGTTCACACCAGCAGCTGTTTTGCATCTTCTGTGCCTACCAATTCAGTTTCAGTTTCACTAAGCTAATGCGCAACTATATATCTACCCTCCGAAAAGTTATGCTCAAAACTTTCAAATTTTCGTTTCTTGCAGAAACGAAAAGTTCCACAATAATGCTTAGTTGTTCACTTTATATTTATATTTTAAAAGTTCTCATAATGAAAAAAGTGTCAAATTTAGCTTTTTTCTAAAACCATTTGCTGTGCAAAGCGGTTAAGCTGTAGTTACCTTTGTGCTATCTTACCTGTCAGTTTGAGATGAGCACCACATTATGCTGCAAACCAAAGCAGCTAAGTGAGAAACACAGCCTGGTCAAGGAACCAGGACATTTTTAACGCCCCTCTTTGATTGAACCTAATTAATTCTTCAGTTTTCAACAGTGTCAACTTCACAGAACATTTCACTATGATGAAGATTGTTGCTCTCGTCTGTATGCTGGCTGTCGTCGTAGCATCTGAAGAAGTGGACATCCGACCAACACCAGTCTTTCTTGTTGGGGCCAGTAATGGGATTAAAAAGGTTAATTTCAGTATTTTGAGGCTAAGTTTTGTTAAGCTGCTGCAGCTGTTACCTTAGCCGCTGCTCACTAAACGTTCGTCTAACAACTTGATTTTACTGCTGAAATTAAGGCTTTCTATGATATCATTTCCAAAGACTGGACTTCTGAACAAAAGGGCAAAGCTATCGACGATTTTGTTGCGAAATTAGACTCAAAATTCCAGGTGAACGTAAAAATTAAATTTTATCTAAAGCATTTTTTCTACTGGCATTTGAAATAAATCACCATGATGGTACTTTATGCATTGTTTCCTCTTTAGGCTGCTTACGCCAAGTTTAAGCAGGACATTGCTGTAATTAAAGCCAAATACGGCCAGTCTGTTGATGATCAGGTTAATACTTAAACGAAATGAAAATGAAGGAATGATATGTAGTTTTGGAGATTCAATTAAAAAATACAAGTAAACCACAAAAGATTTCTTTTGGTAAAAAAATTTGAGGCCACTTATCAGTTTCTTGTCATTTCTGTTAGTTTCACTTCTATGATTAACAATGTGCTTGTGTTTCAGCTTTAAATGGGAATTTGATGGTTGACCGTTCTGTCATACAGTGATCGTTGATTGTTATTGAGTCCTAAAGTTTGCTTGTTTTTTCTGTTTGCAAACTATCTGTAAAAGGACTGATGTAATAAAATATAATCCTGCCATCGCACTTTGGCAATAAAACAGTGAATATGGCCAAGTTCCAATTTTTCACTTGCTTGGTACAGATTTCTTTTAACAATTTTTGTACTCCTGATATGTTATGATAGTGAAGCACTAAAACTTTCACCTGCGCCTGAATGAACACGTAAATATAAATAGCACTTCCTTATGAGATTTAACACATGCTATTTGGATTTCTGCAACTTTGAATAATTTCTTAAGCTCAATTAATTTAAAAGAGAAGTAAAGGGTCAGCAAAAGGAGTGATAACTCCACAGACTGCTTAGATGGGTATTTGTTGTGTGTAGCTACAACGACTCTTTAAAGTGGACGG